CTCAAAGTACGACTTGCAGATGTCTGTGTCTCTTCAGCACGACCTCATTCTCTCCCTTGCCCATTTGTCCCTGTCCGACTAGTCTGTGATCTCTCAAGATGCTCGCCAGTATGCTCGCTGATCCTTTTCTCCTTGCCACAGTCTCCAAGGTCAGGGCCTTGATTCAAGTTGATCTGCCTGAGTAGTTAGCCAATTAGATTGTTTTGGTCGTTGACCGTCTGCACAAGTTGATTAACCTGTGAATTAAGGCCCGCTTGACTGCGTAGGTCGAGAAGAGAGGTGTGGATCGGGCCCAATGACATATGGGCTAGGGCTCCATTAGATGCATACACGGGTGCATACATCAAGTGTGGTTGCAAAGGAGGGAACGAATGGATTTGCTCCAAGATGGCGATGTCGCTTGGCCCTTGCGGTGGCAAGGTGGAGGAGGCCACGGGGCCATGGTTTGGTGCAGCCGAGAGTGGTGCGGCAATTCCAGCCTCTATTTGGTGGTTCACGGGGGTGATTTGCAGCTGCAAGAAGCTGTCCCCACGGTTTGGTGGCTGTCCGGTTGCTACAATAGTTGTTTTGAGAGGTTGTGAGGCCTCTGAAGGTGGTTGGATGACAGGGGCAGCCACCAGGGGCTGCTGGAACTCGCTAGGGGCCTGCTGGGAAGCGTTGGCAGCCGTGGGAATCTGCTGCAAAATGCTGGCAGCAGCTGTACCTCGCTGTGGCAGCGAGGTTTTGGTAGTAGTCCGGAGTGCGCCGTGGCAGTGATTTTGCTCCTAGGGCGTTTGCTTCCAACCATTTTTGTGTGGAAGGCTTCGGAGGATTGGAAAATGGATTTGGAGCACGCTTTGAGTATTATTTCTCGCTCTCAATGAAAGCACCAATTTGTGGGAGCGATTTTTGTCCCACAAGCATATTCAATCGAGATTCCTCCTTCCTCTTTGTCATCTCTTTCTCCCTGCAAAATAAATCGGAATAAGAGGACCACACCCGGGGGGGTGTTGGCCAAAGGCCCTCCGATGCCTAAGTTAGTTCAATTGATTTGTAGAGAAACAATAGCTAAAAAGGGTACGAAGATGTATGTATGGTGTGAACCGGGTGCCCGGAGCCTTGTGTGAGAGAGAAAGAGTTATGGCGGCTAGGGTTTGTGAGAGGGAATTTCTGCAGAGTTTCATATAGAAATTTAGACGTACCTCAACCCTTGTCCCTAATTGAGGCAAGAATCAAATAAATCCCCAATTAAATCAGGTAACTCCCAATTAAATCGAGTAACTCCCAATTAGATCAAATAATTTCCAAATTGATTGGCTTAATTATTTGACCTAGGATGAGATATTTTTGCTTCCACGGCTATTTTCATCTTCTTCTCCCTAGGGTTCTTCTCTACTATCTTCTCCAAGGTTATTCTCTTCATGTTTGTGCCTAATAAATCACGGCCATGAGCTGGCCGAAGGAGCCCCTTTTTCTCGGCCCTGGCACTTGCTCGTAAAACTGAAACGCAGCGTTTCGCC